CCACTACTCTCTACCCCTACCTCCCTCTCCACCCATCTTCCACAACCTTTTTCTCTCCTCTCCTTCCCACTCACCATTTCTCACTAATCTCATCTACCCCTCTCCACCTTTTTCATATCCTTCTCTCCCATTCTACCACCCTCTTCTCCTCCTTCCCTCCCCCAACTACAATCCCATCATCTCCCCCATCCCCCACCTTACCTTTTTCTTACTCTTCTCACTTCTTTCTCTCTTTCTTCATCACTTTTCCATCCCCCCCCCCCAACCCAACTCCGAATTTTTCTGTTTTTTTCTTCTTTTCTCTTTCTCTTTGATGTAAAATTTTTATTTTCCTCCAAAAATCTAAATCATCTTATTTCCTCCCTCTTTTCTTATTCTCTGATTTATTTTTTTATTTATTTTATTTATTCTGAAAATTCGAAATTTTCTGCGACACCTCTATATCTTTGTTGTCGGCGCACATTTTGACCTCTTGGGGGTAGCGAAGCGCTGGCCAAAATTTTCCATTCTACTTGGTCTTTTTCTTGACGGCACTTTTCGACCCCATGGGGGTAACGAAATGCTGCCGATATTTTTGAAAAATTCCAAAACTTAGCTTCTCTTCACTCTCTTCCACCTCCTTATTTATTTATTTATTTACTCATTTATTTTTTTTTCTGAAAATTTCAGTTTGCGGCATTTGGAAAGTTAGTGTCCCTCTTGCACTTTCCTTCCTCTTGGCACATTTTTGACCCCATGCGGGGTGGGAAAATGCTGCCGAAAATTCCAAAAAAATAAATATTCTCTCTCTCCTCACTCTTTACATTTTATTTATTTATTTATTTATATTTATTATTTTATTTTATCTTTATCTCGAAAATCCACTGTTTATTCTGTTTTCTCCTCTCCATAGTTATTATTTTCTTTTCTTGATTAGGTCACCGCTACCTTCCCCTAACCACCTAAACTCCGGTTAGGGTTTCCTTAGGGTTTTTCTAGGGTTTAGGGTTCTCCTAAMCCCCCTACTCTCCCGCCTCCTCTCGTCGGGCACCCTGGACCCGAACGGCTCCTCCCCCTTCGAGCGATTTGGTGCGTTCTTCTCACGCGAGACCCGCCAAATCCGGGGTGAGCCGACTCACACATACTCACTCCCCTCCCGCGGTCCCCTTCCTCTTACCGGCGGGCCCCTCTCCCCACACACCCGCGTGAGCTCTACCTCCCTTTCCCTTCCGACCATGGAAGGAAGTTCCTTTGAGGAGATCACCGCGGCGCCGTCCACCTCCCAGGTGAGCGTTCAGCCAGTGGGTCAGGGTCAGGCCCATGCGGACACGATGGACCTTCATGCCACCCTCATAGCGATCCAGGCGCAACTTAGCACGCTTGGACCGTTGCAAGCGCAAATCGATGCGCTTGCCCTTGACGTCAACCGCCTCAAGGGCTCTCCTCATCACTCTCCCCACCGCTCCCATACCCCATCCCCTACCGGCTCCGAGTCCGGCTCCCCACGACTCCAGAGTCGGAGACATCGTGGTTCCCCCTCCTCTGCGGGCCAGGCCCAACACTCCCCCGCAGCAGTGGCGAGTGCTGCTGCCGCTCAGACCACCTCGTCTGTTGCGGCAGTTCTTCCGGCCCCCGTCGCCCCTACCGTCTCTACTGCTGCCGCAGGTGCTGCGGCCCAGATGCCACCATCTGGCCCCGCAGTTTCATCAACCCACCCCGGTGTTGCTTCCCAGCTTCCCGCACCGATCGCGGCAATACGACTCCGCCCTCTTCTTCCCGCCTTCGTCCCCCCACCCCCACAACAGGGGACCACCCAGGCTGGGATTCCTCCTCCCTCTGGGAGACCCGCTACGCCTCCACCTCCGACCCCGCGCACCCAGCGAGTGGCCACTTTACAGGCCACCATCGCGCAGGCTCAGGCGTAGATTCTCGCTCTGAGACAGCCTCACCCATCACAGACTACCCACCCTTTCTCCTCGACCACCCCTTCGGTCCCCATGATGCACGCTCGTTTCCCTCGACCTGCTTCTCAGCTTCTTCCCTCTTACCTGGCTATTCCGGGACAGCTGCCCGCGGTCGTTGCCTCCTCGTCTGCTGGTCCATCAGCCAGCGGCCACGGCCCACAACCTTCCCCCACCTCCGCCCCAGCCGCAGTGCACTCGCCTCGATCTCTCTCCCCCCGCCATCAGCACAGTGGACATCCTCCTGTGCGCACCACGGACATTCCCGAGTATGATGGCACATCCCGTGTCTCTCGTTGGTTGCAGATAGCAACACGTACACTCTCTATGACGACCACCCGTCAGGAGTTGTGGTGCGATGTGCTCGCAACCAAATTGCGAGGTAGCCCTTCCACTGCGTGGGAGGATCATTATACCCAACGCCTCTGCGTGGGTGAGGTCCCCACTCTAGCCGACTTCGCGGCCTTCCTTCAGGACCGCTTCGATGCTCGTCGTGACGCCACCGACGCCTTAGACCGCGTCACCCGGACCAAATGGTCCGGATCCTCTGTACCGGCCGACCTGGAGCGTCACATCCGGGTGTTTCAGGACGCTCGCCTTGTTTGTGACGAGACGTTCCTACCGGAGGTCACACTCACCGACCGGTTCCATGTCAGCCTGCCGACTGACTACCGCCTAGATCTATGGAGGCGATCATTCTCTTCCGCGGAGCAGGCATACGAGGCTGCGCATCAGTACCAGAGGATGTGCAGTCGCTTCTCCGTCGCCCCATCCTCTTCGCGGCCAGCCGCCACCCCCCAGTCTCGGGGTACCACCCGAGGCCGCTCCTCGTTTGCTGGTCGTTTTCGTCGCCCGGCTCGACCTGGGGCGTCATTCTCTCGACACTACAGTTCTCTCGAGTATGGAGAGGACGCACCATTGGGGACGCCCCCGAGGACATCGAGCTTCGGATTGCATCCAGTACCACTTGGATGACGACACTGTCCCAATGCCCGAGCGCCTGCAGATGGCCATGTCTGCCATGGGTCGTGCACGCAGTCGGGTTGCACACGCTGGCGCCCGCACACCCACAGTTCCTCAAATAGACCTCCCACAGGGTTTTGTCCCTCCTCGCGGAGCTCTATCCCCCGAGGAGCGTGCCGCCCTCGGGGCCCGACGCGGCTGCCTTCGTTGCCGCCAGGGTGGACACACCTCCTCACGGTGTCCATACCACACCGCCCTCGATCAGTACTACGCTGAAATTTCTCGTCAGCGTCGATCTCAGTCCCCCCCCGGCCCCGCCCGGCCAGCCCCACCCAGCTAGCCACGGTGCAGTGTACCACTGAGGCCTCGCATGTAGCCGGCTTCCCGACCACCGAGTCGCGGTTCGCCACCTTGGCTACCCCACCAGAGGACCCTCAGGACACGACAGACACAGTTCTCTCTGCCCCGTTGTGTGTCGAGGTACCGTCTGCCTCCCAGCAGACCGCCACATCTAGCGCTTCTCCCCCGAGACTTCCGACGCGTCGCGCCATCCGCACAGCCCGTTGCAGTGCTCAGCTGGCGACTCGCGATGACGTTGTGTCATCTCTCCTGGATTTGAGCATTCTTCAGGCTCGTCAGGAGCAACCCACGAGACACATAAACGTCCTGGGTCGTCTTCTCACTCTTCTCTCTCACCCTGATCGTACCCTCCCCATTATCCCTATTCGCCTAGGGACATCTACGAGGGTGTACCGCGCTTTATGGGATTCTGGCTCGCAGGGAGATTTCGTTCACCCTCGAGTGGTTGAGGAAGCTCGCCTAGCTACCTCTGGGTCCCGCTCTCCTATCTTCGTTACCCTCGGAGATAACAAGACACAACGCTTCTTCGATCAGACGGTTCCCGACCTCCACTTCTCCCTCACCCTCCAGCCACCGGATAGTAGCCAGGCGCCTCGGCGCTACCATTCCTCCGCATACTTCGACGTGCTGGAGACTGGGTACGACTTTATCCTTGGCACTCCCTGGTCTCGCCGGTTCTGTAGCACAGAGGCCGAATGGGCGACCGAGACACTCGTTCTCAAAACGAAGTGTGGTCAGACCCATCGCGTACCCTTCATTGGAACCACGGGGGACACTCCTCCCGACCTACCTCCCCGGGACCCTCATCCCTCAGGGTCTCACCCCGACATCGCCTTCACTTCCCCTCGTCAGTTTGCTCACTTCATACGACAGGAGGACGTTACGTTGTACTCAGTGAACGTCATGGATCTTCTTCGCTACGATCCACTCTGTCCCGAGGTTGAGCTAATCTCTCTGGAGCCCGATCCCCCTGACCCTCCTTCCATCTTCGCGGCTCCCATCTCTACATCCACACGTCATAATGCGGATACCCCCTCCACGTCTCAGGCCCCTGCGCCATCGACTGTCGAGTCCACACATACGTCTCGTGCTGACGCAAATGCCGAGGAACTCACACGGTTCACGACTGACTTAGAGCCCACCGTTCACAACCTGATTCGAGAGTACCGCGATGTCTTCCCCCCTATTTCTCATATGCGCGATGTCGAGCATTCCATCCAGCTCGTGCCTAACTATCGTGTTCACCATCAGGCACCATACCGACTCTCGATTCCAGAGGCGACGGAACTCAATGTCAGCTTGAGGAACTCCTTCGACAGGGTTTCATTAAACCCAGTAACTCCCCTTGGGGTGCACCTGTCCTCTTTGCTCGCAAAGCGGACGGAACTCTCCGCCTCTGAATCGACTACCGCGGCTTTAACCGTTACACGGTTAAGAACAGTTATCCCATGCCCTGTGCGGATGAACTGTTTGACCGTCTGGCAGGCAACCGCTTCTTCACGAAGATCGATCTTCGTAGCGGTTACCACCAGATCCGCGTTGCCGCAGAGGACCATCCGAAGACTGCCTTCCGATCGCGCTTCGGCCACTACGAGTTCACGGTGATGTCATTCGGCCTCACCAATGCACCCACCACCTTCCAGACGGCGATGAACGACATCTTCAGGGACATCCTTGAAGAATATGTTCTCGTACACCTGGACGACATCCTGGTCTACAGTCGTACCTTAGAAGACCATATCAGACACCTCCGCGATGTTCTACAGCGCTTACGCAAGCATGGCTTCTATGCCAAGCTCAGTAAGTGTCGCTTTGCCCACAGCGCAAAGTGGACTTCCTAGGACACCATGTGTCTGACCAGGGTCTTCACATGGACGACGCGAAGATCACTGCTATTGCAGAGTGGCCCGTCCCCACATCTGCCAAGCAGCTTTGCACCTTTCTAGGCCTCACCAGCTACTATAGTAATTTTATCCAAGGATACGCTAGGTATTCCTACGTCCTTACCTCCACCCTCCTCCGAAAGAACCCGCCGTGGTTTTGGACACCCCTCTGCGAGGACGCCTTTCGCGCCCTCGAGAAGGCGGTGACTTGTGCGTCGGTTCTTCGCCTTCCCGATTTTGATCGTCCCTTTATCGTCACCACCGATGCGTCAGATTTTGCAGTAGGAGCTGTCCTTTCTGATATGTTTCCCTCTCCTCCAGATTCACCTTACCCCAATGTTCCTTTCCCCCCCCCTCCTGCTGACACTGCTTCTCAACTGACTCCTACTCTCCCACCACTTCCCTCCACTGACAGTCCTCCTGTTACTTACTTCCCGACCATCGCGGAGGATGGGATTGTCGAAGCTCGTGCTGGGGATTGCCCGATCGCTTTCTACTCCCGTCAGCTACTACCTGCCGAGATAAACTACACTGCTGATGAACGTGAGGTTCTCGCAGTAGTTTACGCTACCCGACATTGACGTCATTATCTGCACGGGGCACCCTTCACGGTGCGCACGGACAACTCAGTTGTCAAGGCTTTCCTCACGAAGCCTAAGCTTTCCCCTCAACAGGCACGCTGGTGGCGTGATTTATCCGAGTTCAGTTTCACCACTCAGCCCATCAAGGGTGAAACGAACCGCGTCGCCGATGCCTTGTCCCGTCGTCCTGATCACAATTAGGAACCCATCCATCTTGCTGCCATCTCCATCACCACTGTTGATCAGTCGGTGATCGACGCGTATCGCACTCAGTACCGCCACTGCCCCGATTATTGCGTCATCCACGGGACATTGCGGAGTGGCAAGACCGTTCCTTCCTACTCCCTCGGGGAGAACGGCCTCGTGTACTGGCATGGCAGATCTGGTCAGCTAGAACCACGTATCTGTGTTCCCTCCACCAGACAGCTTCGCGCCCAGGCTGTAGCCGAGTTCCATGACCAGGCAGCTGCCGGTCATATGGGTTTCCATAAGACTTTGGCTCGTGTTTGCCGCCTATACGTCTGGCCGAAGTCCAAGGACTTTGTCAAAGCCTACATCCAGGAGTGTCCTACCTGCCAGGAGGTGAACAGTGCGAACCACCTTCCGTATGGGTTACTTCAGCCCCTACCCATACCTGAGGGTCGCTGGGAGTCCATCTCGAAGGATTTCATTGGTCCCCTCCTGAGCGCGGTCATGATGCTATCTTGGTCGTCGTCGATCGCTTCACGAAGCGTGCACGTTTTGTCCCGTGCCGCTATCGCATTAGCGCTCGTGAGGTCGCCGACATCGTCTTCAACCGAGTTGTGAGAGATCACGACTTACCTCAGAGCATCATCTCCGACCGTGACCCGCGCTTTACCAGCACATTCTGGCGACGCCTACACGAGGTGTACGGATCCCATCTCCGCTTCTCATCGTCTTACCACCCTCAGACGGATGGTCAGACTGAGGTCACCAACAAAACTCTCGGTAATATCCTCCGAAAGTTTGTTAGGGATGACCAGCAGTGGGACTTACACTTGGCCCACGTGGAGATTGCGTACAACCACGTTGTTTCGCCAGCCACGGGGATGTCCCCATTCTATTGCGACCTCGGCTACCACCCTCGCGTACCCGCAGATTTCCTACGACCATCGCGGTTGCGCCCAGACACTCGTTGCCCTGCGCTTGACGATTGGATCGCCCACATGGCGGCGATTATGAAGCGCGCACACGAGAGTTTAGCAGACTCCCAGACTCGCATGGCCGCACGAGCGAACCGATCACGAATGGATCATCCATTCAAAGTCGGTGACGATGTGCTCGTCGATGCACGCCACTT